AATTTTTGAGTAAAATGAAAAATGAAAAATATTTGAGATCAAATTGATCGTAAATGCATTGAAATTTTATCATAATTAAATACAAAGATATTAAAGTTTGGCGGGATTATTGCCAATTCACAAATGAAACTTTTTGCTAAAATAAGGGTTTTAGAATCAACAATAGTTTAAAAATGAAAAATGAAGCCGAGAATTAAAATTATTAAATATGATGAATTATTATGACTTTTTATATTTTTCTAGTTGAGCAGTTAGATCTGTTATTTGGCTACGATAAGCATCTCTCATATCTTCAATGTCTGCTTGTAATTCGTCCACCTGTTCCGTCTTTTCGCCTAATAATTCTAGCGCAGTATTATATCTACAAAAAAATCATTCTTTTTAGCATGACTAAAGATAAAAAAAAAAGCCTTAACATATTCAGCATACCTTTCGTTTAATTCATAAAATTGGTGTTCCAACTCGGTGGCTTTTCCAGATGTTAAAGAGCTATTCATAAATATAAAACTAGATCAAGACAATGCTCAGTAGAAAAAATAAATTGACTTTATCAGGAATTATACATACAGATCTTCTATCTGTGTGGTTAGTTTTACTAGTTCATCTGCTAATTCGTCTAATTTGCCAAATCAAAATTTTGTTCAATATTCATTATTATACTAGCAAACAAACCAATGATAAGATTAGCTCACCTCTATTTTTTGTTGTAAGATAAAGTTGAGCCTGTAACGTGCTAACTTGACCTTTCAAGTACCTTATAGAAGAATTCAATCTCTCGGTCATTATAACATTACTTATTATGCTAGATCCACCATCAATGCTGGACCTACTAGATCTAAGACTTGAAGTTGGACTTTTTAACATTGGTGATTGTATTCCTCCCTCTGCATGTTTCTCTAAATGTATTTCACTTACGGAACGTAACGAACTCAACTGTGTTTCACTTGCTGATCTTATAGGGCTACCCCTAACAGAATCCACTTTCAATGATAGTTTATCCTGTTCACGTTCCTTTGATTTGACTTCTTGCTCTGATCGTAGTCTTTCTTCCCATTCATCCTGTTTTTCTTCAAGTGTTTGTCGTAATATACAACGATATTGTTCTTCTATTTCTTTTAGACTTTTTTGATGGCATTCTTCGGACGATTCAAGATTTGATGTAAGAGTTTCAATCTCACTCTGTAAGGTTGGAATTCGAGCATTAAGTGATTCTATTTCCTCACTTAATTGTGAATTTTTTTGTTGAGCTGCGATAAGCTCAAGTTCTTTTTGCTCAGATTGTGACATCTGAGATAATTGAGATAATTTGAGATAATTGAGATAATTGAGATAATTTGAAATAATTTGAGATAATTTGAGATAATTGAGATAATTTGATATAATTGAGATAATGTGAGATGATTAGTGTTAATATTTATAATCTGTTTTAAAAAAGCAAATTTACATAAAATCAGTTTTCCCTTACCAATTCTCTTAATCGAGAATTCAATTTTTTACATTCTTCAATGTATCGATCACGTTCAGCTTCCATTTCGGTCAACCGTATTGTAAGACTGTGAAATATAATCAAATATTTAAGTATTTACAAATTATGAAATATATAAATCCAATTAAACTATTAAATATTTCACAAACTTATGCTCAATTTTTTCCCAATTTTTGACCGATAATGCATATTGTGTCTTTACATCTTCTATCTGTTTGAGTAATTGAATTCGATCTATTTCCCATTCTTCTGAAGTCGAGTCTCGTGCGTAATTTTCTGCTATTTGTAATCGTTGTTGTAATGCCTTTAAAACAAATTATTAAAAATTAATCTAATTTCATATCAAACAAAAAAAATAATAATAATTAATTATTATTTATCATGCAGATAACATACCAGAATTTCATTCCGTAAATTATCTTCACGAAGACCAGCTTGCTCTTCAACCCGTACTAAAGTAGCTCTTAATTCACGAATCTGAACGAAAGAGAAATTATAATCTTGGCAATAAATTATACAATTTACATATTAAATTAAAAATATGCTTGCTTCATTTCGTAAATCAGATTCTGTTTGTTCTTCAACAGGATCTTTGATTATTTTTAATTGAGAGTTCTTAGCTTCTTCTAATTCTTGTATTTGAATTTTAAGTTGTTCTATCGTATTATTCAATAATGCATTTTGTTCGGCTGCATTAAGTAATTGACGCTCTCGTTGCTCAATTATATGTTGAAAATTATCAGTTGTCAATTGAGACTCAACTTCTGATGCTCTTGAATCATTAGATGTTCTAGAACTGTCAATACCATCGAACTCTCGAGATTGTGCATCCGAACTATTTGAAATAACACTGTTAGTGCGGACGGATGTTAAACTCTCGGTTTCTAATTCATTTTTCGAAGATTTTGATTGTTCTATTATGTTATCAAGTATTGTCCTTAATTCTTTTGATTCTGAATCTTGTAAGTTACCAATGGTCGACACTGGTTTTTGTGATCCTTTGTTTTGCGTCGTCTTCGTTACATTTTGTGAACTTATACTTGGTGGATCAAGAGTTGTCACAAAACCAGTAACGGGATCCACATATACTTCTCCTTGGTATACGCTACCTATTCATGATTGACAATCAGCATTTAAGCAAATATCAGAGATCACGCGATTGACTGGGGCCTAGAAACTAAACACATACTTTCTCCTATGTCAAGAGCTTTATCAAATTTACTTTCGACAGTATTCATCGCTTGTTTCAACATATTCCCCCAGGAACCACTTGGTACATTTGTGTTAAAGAAACTCATGATTATAATGAAATTTTTTTGCGATCTTCCAAGATTTATTAAGATTTATTCAAATTATTCAAAGCATTATTACGATCGCTCATTTTACGCATATATACGTACGAGATTTTCTTGTCTCACGATTCGTGTAACATAAGATTACCTTTATTAAGATTTGTTTTTACAACTAATTCGTGTCAAATTAAGTGTAAATGGTGGTGTAAATTAAGTGCAGTAAATTTTAATTATAAAGTGAGCTATAATTATTTCATGATTTCTTGGCTTTTTCTCATACTCTTATCGATAATATGTCAATTATTACAGACGGTCTCTCGCTTGCATCAAGAAAAAGCGTTCGAGATGACTTTACAAATAAAATTCCAGAATTTAAGAAAAATTTAAATTCTATTACAGGATATGATTATGAATTTGTTGTGGATTTTAGTAAAATTCATGCTAATACTATTAAAGCTGTTCCCGAAAATAATGAATGGATAACAAAAAGTTTAGGAAATATTGCTTTTCAATATTTTGATTCTTTAATTTCCAATATTAGTAGAGTTACCAAAAATGATGACTTGGTTCTTTCCAATTTTGTTAAAATAACTAACAATAGAGAAATTCATCTTCTTACTGATCCAGATATTCAAGATAATTATAATGAAGTCTCGATTACCGATGGTAATATTTATATTAAAACACAACCTTGTTATTACGGTACCAACACTGGAAATATTGGTTATAATATTTTAGAATTATTGAAATCTTCAGATGAAATATTACCTTTAATTACAAAAACGAATATTCGCGATGGTTGGGAGAAACAAACAACTTCACTAAAAAAATCTCTCAAACAAGTTTTGGGAGAGGATTATGAATTTGTGATCGATTGGGAAAATATTTATTTAAAAGCAATTTCAGCAAATGAAAATAACACTAATTGGTTATCTTCTAGATTAGGTGAAATTGTTTACGCGTATTTTGAATCTCTAGTAAAATATATAAATGAATACGCTAAAAAGGATGATTTGGTTAGATCGGAATTTGTTAATGTTATTTATACAAAAAAGTTTTATTTCATTTACGATGATGATATAAATGATTATAATGCCATTGAAGTTAAAGATGTTAACTTTATATCAAAGTTAAACCTGAATCATTAGGAACAAATTCATCTATTGGCTATTGTATTATTGATGTGATTAAAAATCCGAATGAAGTTCTTCCTTTAAGAACAAAAAAAAGTATTCGAGATGAATGGGAAAAGGAAATTCCTAGTCTCAAGAAACAACTTAATAAGTGTTTGGGTGAAGATTATCAATTTAAAGTAGATTTTGATGAAATTTATATGCAGGTCTCTAAAGCAAATGAAGATAATACCGATTGGTTTTCTAAAAGCTTGGGGAATATCACCTTACAATATTTCAGTTCATTGATTAAATATATAGAAGATTATACAAAGAAGGATGATTTGATTCGTCAAGAATTCTTGGATTTGACTAAAACAAGAAATTTCCATCTTGTAATGGATGTTGATGTCGAAGATTACCATGATGTTAAGATAAATGATGGTGGTTTGTACATTATGGTTAATCCTGCTAGATTTGGCACTAATGCATCGCCTGGTTATGATATAGTTGAAAGACTTCACGCGCCAGATTCTGTGCTTCCTGTGATCACCAAAGTAAATATTCGCGATCAATGGACTATGAAGATTCCCACACTAAAAAAAAAACTTAAAGAAGCTGTTCATGATGAAATAGAATTTGTAGTTGATTTTGATAACATCTTTGAAACTGCAAAGAAAAACTCGGATGGTGATGGTAAATGGGTTACAAATAAATTAGGTGAAATCGTTTTTGCATATTTTGAATCTTTAGTTGCGAATATTGTTAAAGATGATATGGTTAGAGATAATTTTGTTGATATTGTGAAAACTAAAAAGATTTATTTTGTCTTTGATGCATTCACTAAGATTTCATTAGTTTCACTAACAAGTCCAGCGCTTGATCATGCGCTGGGAGTTTTTGATTAATCAGATAGGGTAGGTTAATTATTGAAGAATGTTTATAGAATGATTATGAATTCTGAGCAAGGCTGTACTGTCTGTTTTTTTTTTTTATTAATTTTCTATATAATTTGAATTTTTATTTTTAACAATATTTATAAATATATATACCGTACTTTAATTGATCCGTATTATTTCACCGAAAATCACATTACCAACAACTTAGTTCACCGACAGTTAATTTTTACAGACGAGCTTATTTTACCGAAAATTAATTCACAGACAAGTTTATTTCACCGACAGTTTATTTCACCGACAGCCCATTTTACCGACAAGTTTTTTTTTAACCTTAACTCTAATTCTGAACCTGACCCTAACGACAATGATCAAAGTCACTTTGTCAGTGAAAAGAGCTGTTGGTGAAATAAACTGTCTAATTCATGTTGCATAGATAAGATTAAGATCTTGAGAATTTTAAGTCTGATACGTCTTTTGATCATAAAATTCATATTAATTATAATAAAATATCAATTGAGATATCTTTTGCTAAGCATTTTGTAATACTTTTTGTTGTTTTATCCCCCCGTAATTTAATATTCAACAGCGATATGATACAAATGTCAAGAATGTATACAAAGTATACAGCCTATAGTGATCATAGTACTTCTATTATTTCATTATATATATTCTATTATATATACGTATTAGTTATATTATATCGCATATCGTTATCCTATATAGGATTGTTAATGGAGTAGCATACTCTCCGAAGTGAGCCCAACCCAAGTTGAAGTGAGTTAAAAATATGCTGGACTGAAACTGGAGCAGCTCTAAACAATTCTGAAGTGACTCCAGAGTAGTTCAACCCAAGCTGGAGTGGGTTGAGGAATGGCTCAACCCAACCCAACCCATTAACAACACTAATCCTATAGAATAAATATAGTATAGTTAATTGATATGATAGTCGACAACAAAATGTATAAATAGCCCGATATCCTCTTGAAACTGATAGTTCAATTAACAACTCAATAATAAAGAGCAATCGTATCTTTATACATGAATAATTCAAATAAACTATTCACTTCTTATACGACTGTATCTTTATATACATTTAGCCGTTTGCCTCTTTCGTAATTGCAAATCTATAGCTGATAGTACGTACCTGATTGCCGTAATATCATTATGTGAAACCATAATACAGTACTATAACAATAATAATATGATATGGCACGAGTAGTGAGGTGCAATGCACATGACATGCGCATAATCATGTGCATGATAATGCCGGCAAAGCAGTATAATGCTAGTAGGTTATCTACTATGTCAGAAATCTAGAATAAATGTAAATCTGATTGATTAAAAATAATTTTTAGCCAATCATGTATTGGCATTTTTTCTAGAGTATGAAAATCAGTGGACAAAAAAGTGCAGTAAAATAAATGGCTGTGTTATTAAACATCATAGAAATGTATTATTAAAAATTTTAAACTTATTATTATAGCTTGTACTTAGCCATTTTACGATAACTTTGTTTATTGTTATATCGTCAATGTATAATTTAAATTAAGACAGGTTATTTTGCATGATGATAATGATAGGTATCGCTTATTGCCAATTTGCTGCAACGCCACTTTTAAGTTTTTTTTCACTTGGGCAATGCATAAGCATAATGATAAATATTTAATCTTTCAGCCATCCGTTTTATATACAACACAGCCATAACATGCAATTTGCGTACGTACTTACGACTTTACAAACATCGAATACATAATGGCTGAAGGGATCCTTTCTCGACAATATCAAAATCCTGACAAGTTAGCCTGCATTAGATTAGGGTTGGGGTTGGTGTTAGTTCCGGTCAATTCTTGTCGGGATTTTGTTTGTCAGAAATGTTTTATCGGGGAAATGATGGCTAAAAGGTATTTTATCTAATTAGTAAAATTATTTCATGGTTGAAAGCAGTGTTGGCCATTTTGGGTCTTATATAACCAAGGTGGTTATAATGTAATAGTGAATTTTATAAGCCATAACAGGTCATAAGGTCATAACCTATAGTTGTTTAATATGTCATAACAGGTCATAGGCAAACACTGGTTGAAAGTACTTGAAAAGTTTTACTGCCTTACAGCATTTCGACACTATGGCATTACAGCATTACAGCACTACAGAATTACGGCAAATAATATGGCACATGCCGTTGCCGTATTAATTTGCCAAATTAATTCTACCGCCAACTATATGCAAATCGCTTAAAGCGTAACTGCAACTAACCATATATTTTACTTAATTCGTGATCCACCTGCAGATCAGAAAAATTACTATATATATTATATATAAAGATTGGGATAATCAACTTACAGATTTTAAGAACATGTTAGAATCTGTCACTGTTGCTTAACTCAACTGCCTCCAATGAAGAAAAAGTACTAGCAAAAGCTTTTCTTAAGAATAGTGCCAACATTTTGAACATAAAATAATAAACATTGCATAAATATATATATATATATATATATATATCATATATACATATATATAGAAATTAGAGCTTTTTTTTTTTTTGATGTATGACAAAATGTAAGAAATATACAATTACCTTAATTTTTCATGACCACTTGGCCGAAGAACTACATTATGGACCCTTTTGTCACAATTGGTGGATTTTGAGACCATCAGAAAAAATGAATAACTCTTGTCACCTTTACCCTATTCGTATCCAATCTAAACTTTTAGTAACTATAAATGAATATGATTTTATCATTGAGGTTGGGCAAATAGAATCTGAATTTAGACCGCATCCAAGTTATATTTGTAAGTGTGACGGTGTTCAAAGCAAGATTTGTAAGGCACCTAGTATGGCTATTACAACAGTATATCAAAAAATTTTTCAAACAAAAACCAATTTTTCAGGGCCAGAAGTTATGGGTTACGATATACCTGAAGTTGTTTAAAAGTACCTTCACAAATTGCCATTTCAAGTTTTTAATTACTCTTTTAATAAATTACAAATATGGATACTTGGAGTTGGAAAATCAAATAATGAAAAGTTTAACTTCACTGGACCTAGGTTCAAATCAGTATTTATTTACTCATATAATAGACAACGTAGTGTTTTTTTTCAAGAAGTAGAATTCAGTAAATGCAGAATTATAATATACACAGAGGGAGATAGGTTTAGGAAAACGTTTGTTGGTTGTGATTCAGATTCTGTTTGGAATCAAGTTGGTTATCTAAAACAGTTTAAGGGTTATCAGCTTTTTGGACTTGATAATCAATACGTTCAAAATCTTATTCGGAATATTCCTACCTGTTCATTATCAGGTTGGACCAATAAACATTTGATGACATTAGCATATAAATATCATCTCAAATGATATACTAGCGCACAGGTTAACTGGCAAAAACTGTTTCAGGACTGGGTATTACACGAACATACTATTATTGAATTACGATCAGCTTTATAAATCTTATATCCAAAAGAATATGTAATAGGTAATCGTGAATATCGAGCCTGGGAATCTTTGTTGAGGCATATCGGTTATATTGAAATAACACTATTCGGAAAAAATCAATCAGAAGTATGTATTATAATTTTTTAAATAATTGCAACAAAATTTATTTATTTATTTTATTTACATAGTTTAGATTTTGGTCAAGGTCGACAAATCCAAACGCAGACAAGGCTTCATTAATGACATTATATACTTTCAGATTTTTGAATCCAATACCAAAATATTTCAAAAATAATACTGAAACCTTTTGGCATTGTTTTACAGATTCTTTAGATATCAATGCATATAGTAATAATAGCAAATATCATATTTTATCAATTATTGCAAATGCATTCTCATATGAAGAAATTAAAGAAAACCTGAAGGTTAGTTTTAGAATTTTAAATATACTGTACAAGTGCGAAATAACACGCAGAGGTGTTATTCGTGCTTGTACAGTATAAATAAAATATGCATTATACCTAATCACTTATTTTAAAATTGTACTATTTAGGTTTCAAATAATGCTATAATTGCTGCTAAAAAACATGCACATGTTTGTGGCCCCGGAGGTGAATTAAAAACAAACCTGTAATCCCATATAAAAAAATGTCAGCTAAAAAACAGGAACAAATTCGACAATTTTTAACAAACAAAGTGAATGTAATAATGAGCTTATATAAAACTGATTCAGCAACTAATGAGCCTGTTTATTACCTAAAAGATTCCAAGAATGTGCTTTGGGAACAGTTTC